ATATAGAGAAGACTACAAGCTCTGGTCTCTCACAGGACGAACTTGAAGAGATTACAAACCACAAAATACTGTTTGAAGATTGGCGAAATGAGGGATATGAAAGCGTACAAATATGAGAAACCAACATAAATATGTGTGCCCCCCAGTAGCACAGCGGTATCTCTTCAGACTTACAACGCTAGAAACTGGGTTTCGATACCCGTGGTAGGCAGAGCACAGATAGCCCATTGTGTCGCTTTGTGCTTAACTTCAAACATAAATTTGTGAAATGTATCAATAAAACAAAATGACATTTTTCTTATCTTTTGACAGCCATCCTTAAATTTATTATTATTTTTTTATTGTGTAATGTTGCATATTCTTGCAACTGGTCAAACTTATTTCGGTTTTCTTCAAAGAACGTATGTTATTTTTGCGACATCAACTAACAGATGAGCTAATTTGAAGTATTTTATCAAATCTTCTCAAACCTTATTCCGACACTAGACAGGATTGTAAAATTGAAAGTATAAAAGTAATAAGATACAAAACAAAAGATATGCTCGTCAATAAAATCGAAAAAACTACAACAAATTGTGCAGCATCTTTTGAAGTTGAATCATTGGCAAATGAGGTAGCATCGTTCATTTTTAAAATTTTTTAATAGTTTGATATGATGTACTTTTACAAATAAACCTAACAAGCAAATAAATGTAGATATCATCTGTGATAATTGATTCTGACAGTAGTGTAGCCAATGGCATACGGCAAACCCGCCTTCATCAGTGTAGATGAAATGGTATGACAAATACTAAAATAAAATTATCGATTATTCCAGCATTATTAAAGACTTGTGTCAGATGAAAAAACATATTGCTAGTTATAATATGATGATAAGCCAACCCTTGCTGCACAACATAGGTCAAGCGGAAGTATTTTTTTACAAAGTGGTGGACTGTGTTTTAAAAGAAATTGGGAGACAGATTTTAGTTTCACCATTATCACATGTCATGTTTTAGAGTTACGTTAAGACAACCCAGAATGTAAAATACGGTGAAATAGTGAAATCACACATGTATATAGCTCTAGAACTATCTAGTACCAATGGAGATACGGCAGATGTTAATTTTGTTGATTCAACTTAGAGTGTAGCTATAATTCTCTCAGAGACATTTGATGTTCTAATGTTTACTATGTAATCTGTCAGTTACATCTGCTAATCGGAGAGTGTGCTATCACTCTCTATATAGGGATGGCACGAATGCCCGTATTAAAGCAATGCAAAAGTCATTTGGATTTTATTTTCTACAGATCATCAGCAGCTAGAAATGAAGAGCTACAGTGCCTTGCAAAAGTATTCACCCTCCCCCCTGCAAAGTTTCTACATTTTTGGTGCCTTCTGAACTTGCAATCATGAAACTTTCAAATGGGATTTTATATTTAGAAGCTACACAATCTACTCAAATTGAAAAAGCTAAAATAACGCTGATATTATGTAAGTGTTACGACAGCGGAAGTCACGTGACGCTGCTAGCGCATGCGTGACTCAGTTTCTCGAATTATCAGGGAACTCCTCGAATTTTTGAGAAGCTTCTTTGTTAG